GGGTCTGACCCATAGCGACCCTATACAGGGTTTGCTACTGCCCAGGTTTTATGGAAGTTTTCTGTCTCCCAGGCTCCATACAGTGAACATTTATGTATATTTTGAGCTCTCAGCACCACAGTAAAAACTCACATCTTTTCTCTTCCATTTTGATAAGTTTGCAAGCCAATTATAAACTGTCATCTTAACATCTTTACCTTCCACAATGGGATCTCACTAGAGATCATAGCAGGTGGCAAATTGGTCTGATTTATCATTATTTGCATTTTTAATTTGTCGTATTTTAGGCCCAGAGAGTTTTTTTTAATGGTCTTAAAATGGCAACACAAACATTGATACATAATTCATCATCTATTTTTCATAATACACATGGTTAACAATTCATTGACAAATATAAAAATGATGAACATTTTAAGCAGAATGAAGTTACAGCTTCAGCTTTCTTGTCTCCTGCCCTTCCCCTCTGCAGTCTCTAAGAGTAAAATGCTTGTGACTGAATTTCAGTTAGTAACCTCCATGCTGACATTTTATCAGCAGTAGAAATCTTTTCAGTGTAGCTTTGTATCTTAAAAAAATAAGAACAGGTGATTATGGGGAGCCCTGGTGTGGCGCTGTGGGTTAATGTGCCACACTGCAGAGCCATTTGAACTGCAAGGTTGGTGGTTCAAGCTCAGCAGTCACTCCTTGGAAACCATACAGGGTCACTATTTGTCGGAACCCACTCAATGGCACTTAACAACAACAAATCCTTTGACTTGGGAACATTTGTTACTTATAAGTAATAGATGGAGTGCATTCATTCTCATTCTGCTTTCCAAAGACCTGTTAATATTAAAATATTAAGTGTCATCAAATTGGTTCTGACTCATAGCGATCCTGTACAGGGTTTCCGAGGAGTGACTGGTGAGCTTGAACTGCTGATATTACAGTTCAAATCGACCTCGTGGTCCAGTACTTATCCTACAGCGCCATATATTCCACTCCTGTCTCCAGTCTTCATATCAGATATCGTTGCTACTATGACTTTGAGTTGTAAAACATGTAAGTCCTCTGATGCATTTGAAACAACAACTCCAGAGATAAGCAATACATAGATGAAATGCCCAGGAATTTGGGGAAACATCAATAAAATAAAGTGGAACAAATTTATCAGAAGAATCATCAGTAAAGAAACCAAGAACAACTCAGAAAAGGTGCAGTCATCTCAGTGTGGCAGGAGTTCTAACCCCAGTGAGATAAACACATTCTTTGTTTCCATGCAACTCCAGTCGCCTCATCTTGAGGCCATCAAGATGAAACCCTCCCCTGAAAAGTCCCACCCATGTTGATCTTCTCTGGCTCATATTGCATAGATAAACCAATCAACAGGAATGTTGTTTGTGGGCAGTGCTTCAAGATCAAGAAGACACTCTCTACTCTCTAGGAACTTAGTGGTCATTGGCATAGACGTGCGGTGTGTGATTCGTCCTCAATTGTTTAATGTGTGCTAACCAACTTTTCATCCTCCTTTAGAGCATCTCAATTTCATTATGCCCATCAAATACCACTATTAAACCCATGTTTAGGAAGAATATAAACCACAAATTAAAGTAATCACTTGCTTCACCTCTTGAAATGATTATCCTTTCAGAATTTATTTCATTCCTTTTATCACTGCTTACTAGCACTATGGAAAGGCTCCAGTGACCATATCAAGTTTTAGATCCAAGATTAAAGAGATGAGAATAGCCTTGAACACTGCATCCTTTCCACACCAAAAATAATACCTTGTCAGAAGGCATTTGACACCAGCCACAATTTACTGAAGACCTCGGCATTGACTGCACTTTTTTCTTAAGGACTAGGCGCTATTCTGATGATAAATTAAAATGACTCAAAATGATAGTCTGCATAACTGAATCCAGGTTTTCATGTATGATGTTCCCTAGACAGAAAGAATCGCTCCCAGAATCGTTCTTCTAGAGCATGTGGAGGATGATGTATGACATTTACAATGAGAATATGACAGATTGTTACATGGTTGATGATATTGGGTCATCTTCATAACACATAGCTACAGGCAGAGAATCGTAGTTCCTTTAAAGCAGAATAGACTCATCAAGAATGCATTTACATTGCTCTTTACTTTTTTTTAGTGCAATTTGACTTCTCTCCTACTAAGCTACTTTCTTCTCTGAGAAGATTTATGTCAGAAATGTACATACAAGAATAGATGAATAAGTAAAAAGTTCTAAAGGAACATTTATGCTAATTTATAATACACCATTTGTCTACAATCTGAAAGACATTATTTCAAACAAAGATAACTAGGGGGATGTTAATAGCCAGTGAATGTATTTATGCTGTTACTCTGAATAAAATCACTGCATGATAAAAAGGATTTGTTATGTTAGTAGTGTTCTTTAATTGCCCACAATTTTCAAATTTACTTTAAAAATCAAAATATCATACTGATGTTTTCAACAAACTTCTAGTTTTAGATACAATGCATACTAAAATATGCTAGACTTTGGGTTTTAGTAAAGGAAACAAATGGCTAAGATGTAGTTCCAAATGTTAGTCTAGCATAGTTTTATTTAGTAAGGCTGGCACATTCTTACATGTCAAATAAGTAGAAAATAGTGCAATTATCCAGATAATCTGATCCAAAAACATGGTTTTTTAAATCAAAATTATCCTCTTCTTTTTTTTTTTTTCTTATCTGAGTTAATTGGCTTGGCCATTCCTTTTACTATACCTGTCCAAACTCAGTTCCACCAAGCTTCATTGGGGTATAGTTGATCTTAATACTGGTAGATAAGGTTTACTGCATAGAAACAAGGAGAGATGTAGTAGTTATATTTCTTGAGAGCTTCTTGGGAATGTAATTTCTATATACACATGTACTAACTTTTCTAAATGAGTCTAGGTAAGTGACTGTAATCCAGGGAAATGGTCTGAGATGGGAGACACAATGGAATAAGATTTGTTAATTATAGGCTTCTTCATATGTTCACAATTTGAGTGTCTTTTGCTTTCTATAAACCTAGTTGTTCGGTTTCTGGCTTGTAGATGATTTCATTGTTATAGTTATCCAAGGTCCCATGAATACAAAACTAAAATCTGCCCCCTACTCCAAATCCTCCAACTCAACTATGAGTTGGAACCAACTCCACGGCACATAGCCACCACCACCACCATAGTTAAGTAAATCCCCAACACTGTATTTTTCAATGACCGCCCCCCTTACCAAATTTTCTAGTGACTCTTAATTTCCTTCAGGGCAATATCCAAAATGTGCAACTTGACACACAAGACTTGCTGAGATCTGCCCCAACTCATCTCATTCCTTCTGTGTATCTCTTGCAGGAAATATGTATTCTAATCACATGGAGTTTCTCACAGTCCCTCCTGGCCCTGGCCATGCTGGCTCACAGTTTTCTGGAGCGGTTAAGAGTTGGCTCTGGGGTCAGAGTGTCTGGATTAAAACAATGATCTTGCTCTTTGCCAGTTGTTACTACAAGGTTGGGGGTTCAAACCCAGTAGGCACTCCACAGAAGAAAGATGAGGCTGTCTGCTTCCCTAAAGATTTACGGTGTCAGAAATTCTATAAAGGGCCTCTGTAAGTTGATTTGATGGTAATGGGTTTTTAGTTGTTACTGAGCAAGCTGTTTAATCTCTTTCTACTGGCCTTCAGATACAATAGGGATAATAGCACCCATGTCATATAGATATTAAGGCAATTAAATAAGATCACAAGACTATTAATCCCTGTCACATAACAATAATAATAATAACAATAATAGTAATAATAAACCCCACTGCTGTTGAATCAACTCATAGCGACCCTATAGGAGAGAGTAAAACTACACCATAAGGTTTCCAGGGCAGTCAAACCTTTACAGAAGGAAACTCACATCTTTCTCCCATGGAGTGACTGGTGAATTTGAACCACTTACTGACTTTTCAGTTGTAGCCAAGTGCTTAACCACTGAGCCACCAGGGTTCCCTGTCACATAAGCCAAAACCAAAACCACTGACATCTTATCACTTCTGATTGATAGTGATCCTGGATAGGGTTTCCAAGGCTATAAATCTTTATGGGAGAGGAAAATTTCATCTTTCTCTCCCAAAGCAGTTAGTGGATTTGAGCTGCCAACCTTGTAGTTAGCAGTCCAGTATTTATCCTACAGCACCACCAGGACTCCTTTCCCTGTCACATAAGTACCTACTTTATTGTTATTAGACATTATGTCAAAAGAATCCCTTACAGTAGGTCCCAGTCTCCTCTTTATGGGGAGTCAGCTTACAGTAGAAACAGAGAGCCACAATTCAATAATGGCCTCCTGAGCTGGCCTGGTTAGGTCCTGGTGTTTCAGGGTAGATAAATTAGAGAGTTTTACCCTAGACCCATCTACTGGGGTGACAAGCTCAACTCTACAGAGATGATTTAATTTCCTTTTCTACTTCCTTGTTCCTCGACCCTTTGACAGAGGCAATAACATTAGCTTTCTAGGTTTGAGAAAGGACAAGTCTTCGTTGCATGGGATTATGGTACTGGAACTAAGACTAACGCAGTTCAGTATGTGAGAGATATGAACAAGACAATCAAAACCATGCCAATGAAACAACCAAAAAATCTAATAGTCACACTAGGAAAGAACCACAAGGTAGCCTAAGCACTCCTGAGCAACCAGGAGCAGAGGTTGAGGTGTTTATACCAGAACCACATACTCATATATTCGTGCTTGTAGGTTGCTTTTTTTCTGCATAGATCTGTGTTTAAGTCACCTCTTTACCACAGTTAAGTTGTTTAAAATATTCCACCCAATGCATAATGCTTCCCTCAGGCCTGCATCTGATACAGTCTGAGGACATTCTCTTTCTTCTTGTGAGCCTAAATTGCAAGAACCTCGAGTTTCTCACCCCATTTTAAACCAGAAAACAACTCATAGGGCTGCTGGACACACATAGGAGAACCCACTGAACCATCCGCCTGTGAGTTGGTGACTGGGAGTTACCTTGAATTCAGTCTCAATGTTGGCTAGTCTTGCTAACTCGTTGCTTAGCTCCAGGGCGGTGAGGACAGGGTCTTCACTGGACAGAGACAGGTAGGCTGCACTTGCCAGTCCCTTGTAGGCATTCATGCGGGAGCGTGAATGGCTGAAGGAGTCTTTGCGCTGCTTCTCAGTGCACTCGGTGCATTTGCAAAAGTAGTCATGGGGCCTCTCGATGCGGGCACCCTTGAGCAACAGAATGTGCACGATCTCATACTCCTGGCAGTGAGCTGCGAGGATGATGGGAGTGATGTCGTGGGAGAAGCGTGTGCCGTCCTCGTCATAGGCATAGAAGTCATCGTCCCTTAACTCTTGTTCCAGTGGGCTAAGCGTTAGGCGCTGGCCCTGTGCGAAGGCCGGGTGGTTCAGGATGGCCTCCACAATACGCACGTAGCCTTTGCTGATTGCCAGCAGCAGTGCGTCCCCTACTCTTGCCAGGTTCTCCTTCTTGAGCAGCAGCTCCGTGACCTCAAGGTGCTCATTGCCCACTGCCAGCTGCAGTGCATTCTGCCCCATGTAGTCCACGCAGTTGAAGTTGAGGGTCTTGGACTCTTCGAGCATCTTCCTGACCACAGGGATGTTGCCATACTCCGCTGAGTCCAAGAAACGTTCCTCCTCGGGTGTCAGGCTGGTGCCCTTCTCGTTGAACATGTAAGCAGGACCCCGGATAGCCTGGCGGCGGCCCTTCTCCCTCAGTGTTGTGTGTCGTCGCTGCATGTTTTTGAAGGTGCTGCTCCCCAACCTGTGGGGCAAGGCAGAGACACTTGGTTACTTTCTAGAAAGCTTACAGATTCCACCCATGCAGAGCAAACAAAAATTGTTGAGGACATACTCTGGATTAAAAAAAAAAAAATCACGATTGAAAATTTATGAGAAATCATGAAATCTTATTAGAAAACATGCTCTTAATCAAAACTGGGCTATCTGAACCAATATGTTTCAAATGGAAGAATATTGACTTAGTTATCCAGCCTCTGTTGGGTAGAGGAGTAGCAGCAGAGTTGAACCCATGGGTTTAGGTGGAGTGTAATGAGAGATGGAGGTGTAGAGTGTAAGGTACAGTTAGGGCTGAAACAGGAAAAGAACAAGGCACTGGGAATTGATGGAATAAAAATTGATGTCTTTCAAGAAAGTGAGGCGGCACAGGAGGCACTCACTCATCTATGCCAAGAAATTTGGAAGACAACTATATGGCCGACTGATTGGAAGAGATCCATATTTGTGCCAATTCCAAAGAGAGGTGACCCAATGGAATGTGGAAATCATTGGACAATTTCTTTGATATCCCATGCAAATAAAGTTTTGCTAAAGGTAATACAGAAACAGCTACAATCATACATTGACAGAGAACTTCCAGAGGTTCAAGCCGGATTCAGAAGAGGCCATGGAATGAGGGGTATCATCACTGATGTCCGATGGATCTTGGTTGAAAGCAGAGACTATCAGAAAGATATTTACCTGTGCTTTATTGACTAAACAAAGGCTTTTGATTGTGTGGATCATGACAAGCTATGGACAACAATTCAAAGTATGAGTATTCTGGAACACTTAATTGTGCTTATGAGGAATCTGTACCTGGACCAAGACGCAGTGTTTGAACAGAAAATGAGAACACCAAATGGTTTAAAATTAAAAAAGGTGTGCAACAAGGTTGTATTCTTTCACCATACTTATTCAACCTGTATGCTGAGCAAATAATCTGAGAAGCTGGGTTATATGAAGAAAAACATGGCATCAGGATTGGAGGAAGACTCATTAACAACCTGTGATATGCAGATGATACAACCTTGCTTGCTGAAAGTGAAGAGGACTTAAAACATTTACGGATGAAGATCAAAGAGCACAGCCTTCGGTACAGATTACATCTCAATGTCAAGAAAACAAAAATCCTCACCACTGGACCAATAAACAACATTCTTATCAATGGAGAAAAGATCAAAGTTGTCAAGGACGTCATTCTTCTTGGATCAACTATCAACACTCACGGAAACAGCAGTCAAGAAATCACACAACATATTATCTTAGGCAAATCTGCTGCATAAGACCTTTTTGGAGTGTTGAAGAGCAAAGACCTCAGCTTGAGGACTAAGGTGCGCCTGACCCAAGTCATGGTATTTTCAGTAACCTCATAGGCATGCGAAAGCAGGACAGTAAATAAGGAAGACTATAGAAGAATTGATGCTTTTGAGTTATGGTGTTGGAGGAGAATATTGAAAGTGCCATGGGCTGCCTAAAGAACCAACAGATCCATTTTGGAAGAAGTGCAGCCAGAGTGCTCCCTGGAGGCCAAGATGACCAAACTTCGTCTCTCATACTTTGGATATATTATAAGGAGAGACCAGTCACCGGAGAAGGGAATGTGTTTGGTAAGGTGGAGGGTCAGAGAAAAAGAGGAAGACCCCCAATGAGATGGATTGACCAAGTGGCAGCATCGATTGACTTTAGCGTGGCTACAGTAGTGAGGTTGGCCCAGGATTGGGCAGTGTTTTGTTCTGCTGTGCATAAGGTCGCTATGGGTCAGTATCAACTCAATGGCACCTAACAACAATAACAACGACATAAGGAAGACCAGTTAACTATAATTCAAATTAGATCACCAACAACTAAAGCCAGTGATGATGAAATTGAAGAATTGTACCATCTTCTTTCTGAAATTGATCAAATATTCAATCGAGATACATTAATAATTACTGGTGATTGAAATGTAAAGGTTGGCAAAGAGTATTGAAAATACTGTTGACTGACAGAAGAATGAAAAGATCTGTGATGGAAGAAATGCAGTCAGAATGCTCCTTAGAAGTGAGGATGGGAGACTTTTTCTCAAGTACAAGTTGGACTTGTTATCAGGAGAGAGTAGTTCCTGGAGAAGGACATCATCATGCTTGGCAAATAGAGGGTTAATGAAAAAAAGAAGATCCTCACTAAATGGGCTCAAACAATTAGAATGGTGAAGGACCGGACAGCATTTTGTTCTGTTGTACATAGGGTAGATATGAGTCTAAACTGACTCATGAGATCCTAACAACAGCAAAAAGACACAAGCTTTGAAGTTACAATATCTAAAGCAGAATGACGTAGTTTGTCATTCCTTAGTGGATAAATTACTTAATTTGCCAAGGTTTTAAATAGCTTTTAACAAACTAGAGAAAATAAAAACTATGATTTAATTTTAGTTTGAGTCAGGGTATTCCATCTCTAGTTAGGTTTACAAACTTGAGAATGCCCCCAGTCTTTGGTCTCAGATACTTTAACTGTAAAGTGAAGCGCTAGACCGGATGCTTCCTAAACCTCTACCAATTCTGGCACGCTAAACTCCTTTGAGTCTCTAGTTGGCCCTATCTTAAATTTCCTCTTCTCCTTTTATAGCCTACCCCCACATATATTATTTAAATAATATCAAATTGGAATATCTCTAACAAGGGAGTATTTTTTTCAAAAGAGTGAGTACTTGGGGATTTAAAAAAATGTTTTCCATGTTCTATGTTGTTGTTGTCAGGTGCCATCCAGTTGGAACTGACTCATAGCGACCCCATGCACAGCAGAATGAAACAATGTCCTTTCCTAGGCCAACCTCACGAATGCTGCCACACTTGAGTCCATCAATGATGCCACCTGGCC